TGCATCTCCTAGCTGGTAGTAGGTAACTGTCTCTTTCAGCTCGTACTTCTGCCTCTGCCAGGGTTGAATCCTGTTGTGGATTGGTCTTGCGTTTTGAATCCAACCGCCTCCACTGCCCCCTTGGCATGGGCGCTGTGTCAGCCTGTGCAGGGTGCTGGCGGTCTGCTCGGCAAACGCTGTACAAGTGTTCAGCTTGCTGCAGAGGAGCAAAAAGGATTGGTTGGAGTGGCTGGGTAACTGAGATCCCTGCAGACTTCAGAGCTTCTCATATGTTTCTCATACAATGCCACACCTGAAGGGAAAGCTATAAAGAATAGTTTATTCAGGTTCTTTATCCATCTATTCAGGCAGAGGATTCAGTGAGGAGCCTATGTTGAGCGAACAGCTAAGCCAACCTACTAGCAATGCATAAATCTAAAATTAAGAGCTTGCAAGTTCAACATTTTTGAAGCAGGTTTTGCTTTCCCTAAGTCTAAGGAAGATGAAAAAGAGTCAGTGCCCTTCTGATGGGGAGAGATGCTGTTTCTTTCTAAAAATGAATGCAAATTGCTACCTAGTTACAAATCCCATTACTGTAGTGGTCCCTTGAAAAGTGACATTGGGAGGAGCAGCCACGTTTGGCTCTAGGACAGCCATCTGCTGGAAATTTGTGGCTACATATCTGTGCTGTTATTGTAGGACCAAGTGGAATTGAACATACTTGCCTGAAAGAGATACACCTGCAGAGCCAGATGGGAAAATAGGTGGGGAGAAAAGACTGTATTTTTAAGTGGGAGGGAAGTGTACTTTGTGGATTTGAGTCATGCTGTCTGAGGCACAGTTTGTCCCTGATCTAGCAAACCTCACCAAGCAGGTGACTAGCCCAACCCAATCTGAGAGCAAAAGTCCCAAAGTTGACTGCTAAATTCTGTGGAAATTGGAGAGGAGGACTATTGACAAAAACTCTGTAATTTATGCTGATCCCTTCCTAAGCATGAGAGAATCCGGAGAGGAGTGCCACCTCAACACACAAACCTCTCGGAGATGAGGCATCTTTGCTTCAGCTTTTTCCAAGTTGGTATTGCTGTCATCAGAAATGCTTCAGTGGTGGAAAACACTGAGTTTTCCTGCCATACGAACAGGGACACAACTACAGTCAGTTGTTCAGGAGCGTATATCTTCTGGACGTGCTGAGGCAACATTTGGGCTTTCTCCCCTGCAGTGCTGGTTGCACCAACTGCCCCCAAGTATGGAGAGGGGTAGGTGTGTGCGTGGTGCACTGCTGCTAGCTGGGGCGAGTGGGCAGTTCCCAAAGGAGAAGAGAGATGCTAAGGAAGATATTACCCTGTTCCCAGCTGCTGAGTCTGTTTCTCTGCCTTCTTCACCCTTTCCCTTGAAATTGTAACTCCAAATGGCTCAGGTGTGGGCCATTTACTGTGATTATTTCTTTCTTTTTTTTTTTTTTCCCCTCTGGCTCAATTTACTCTCCGTAGGAAGGAAAAGAGATGCAGTTACTGTTCAGAAGGTGGATGGAGAGAAGGTAGTATTTGCTCTCTGAGTGCAAAGGTACTATCTGGCAGGCTGCACGCTGAGGAGATAAATGAGCAGAGTTGTGAGGGGTGTGGTATGTGTAGCATATGATTTCAGCCTGTCTCTGCCAACATCTGTTGCCCTGACCTGAACAATACGAGGCATTTGAAGTCTAATCAAGTTCGTTGCTAATTCTATCCCGGTCAGAGCCAAGAGCCAGTGGAGCTGATCTGTGGGAGCTCGAAGGGAAGGAGTGGGGCAAAGGAGGGAGAGCGGGGTGCCTCTGTGAATGGCAGAGAGAGATAGCCTTTCCCTAACTCAACAAAAGACAAGCAAACCTGTGTGCGGGTGAAGGAGGGGTGGCTGGGGGAAGGTTATGAGTTGTCGTATTATGGAGAAGCTTGAACTGTCATCTGTACTTGATGGAAGCGAGAGAGATTGCAGTTGGAGCTGCAGAAGCGCTGCTTCCCTGATTGGATTAATAGAAAGGGAAGATGACTCTAGAATGGCTGCCCATTATCTGCACTACAAAGGGATTAGTGTGGGTTTCAGAGAAATTAATGGCTTTTGAGTTAGAGCAGAAATACTAATGAATGTCAGGGCCAGAGATGTACGGTGAACAAAATTGGTTCTCTTTTAGTCGGCGCGCGTTCGTAAGTCTGTGCATTTGGGCTGTGGAAGTGTGCTTTTTCTCTACAATTTTGAGTTTTAGATTAGGCTTTCAGTTTTCATATTTAGCTTAAACACTCTCATGATTTATTTGCAAGGTATTGTTAGATTGATTTTTTTCCCATCTTTTCAGACCTAGTGCCAAAGTAGCAATTTTTAAATTGCTGTTATGGCTTTAGTCATATATGCAGGAAGTCTTTGTAGGCAAAGTGTAGAGTGCTTTGAACAGATTGCTAAATGCGAGCTCTGGTCTGAGTATGTGGGTGACGTGGGGAAGCTGAGCCTGAGGTGGCAAGGTGAAACCTAAGTGCATCCTTTTTGTTAGTGTGGATAGGAGGTAACATCCTTCCCACATTTTTTAACCCCCATGCGGTTTGCATACTCACATTAAGTATATAAAACAATTAATGCTCATGTACGTTCATAATGTTCAACTGAAACTTGTCTACTTAATCCTGGTAAATTCTTAAAGCTGATTTTCTCTGAAGAGCAAGCCGAAGCTTTTATGCTGTTGCTGTCCTGAATCCTCCTCCTGCACGTACACAAAACTCTCACAACGCTTTCAGCCAAGGACTGGAGCTTCTCCTTAGACTGTAGGTTACAGCCCAAATTCTGCTTTCTCCCCAGTTGGTATCAGAAACCTCTTGGACAGTAAGTAGTTGTCTCAAATACTCATGGTTCCTGACTTGCCTTCTGCCCCTGGGAGGACAGACAAGACTTGCTTTGTAGCCAGCGGTGGTGAGAGCAGCTTGCACAGCATTTCTGGCCATGTTAGCTGGAAAGCCCGGCACAGACAGAGATGCACTAACTTCTCTACAGGCTCATCTTTGGCTCTTTATTTCCAAGCTTCGCCTGATGCTTCTGTTCTCTTAGTTCTGTGTTGAAGACATCCCAGGTATTCTCAGAGGTGATTATACTTGAAACTTGGTAGAGCGTGTGGCCTGCTAACAGGAAAGGTAACTGGTTAAGCTGAGACGCTGAAAGTATTTTGTGCCTCCAGCTGTCCACCTTTTTCCTTTTTCAGAGGTTGTCAGCCTGAGGGCAGAAATCAGGAGTGAAAGGACTCCTGTACCACTGTGTTTTCTAACTACGTGTTAAGGTCAATTGATGCTGATTTTTTTTTGACCTAATTGTGCCAAGCAGTGGATGAGGAGCTGTTCCCAGGTAGTTACCTTGCTCCTGCATCGGGAATAGCAGTCTCTGAGGGTGATGGATGACTGCAGGCAGAAACCTCCTCATTTAGGTGTGTTAATTCTGCCACTATTTGTAAGTCAAGGCCCATCATTGGTAGGAAAGGTTAAGTAAAAGTCAAATGGGAGCAAGAATTTTTTCCTCATGGCTGAGGAAAAGCTGAATTTTTACAGGGACCAACAAAAATTACACCGAGCCACATGCCTAGCCCGAGGTAAAATTATGATATTTGTGTGTATTAATGACAGCAGAAGTGGTCCAAATCAGATTGGAACAAATTTTGCATGTAAATATTTTTTAAAACTCAGAAATGCTTTAGATAATTCCTTTCGAATTCATGTCACTTTGATGCCCCGAATGACTCGTGCATAGTTGGTTTCCTGGGAACGAAGAAGATT